ATATAATTATAACTATAATATAATAATAACTTTATCAGGTCTTTTTGCTATTATAACATTCTTTGAGATACTGTTTCTCAGACATTAGTACTAATTGTAAATTTGTACTCTAAGAATTCTGAGATTAAAAACCCACGCCATGAATATTTCTATTTATTTACATATTGTCACGTATATTCACCGTTTTAAGACATAGTTGTCTTACCTTCACAAGGTCATAGGCATCTTTTCCAAAGTCAGCCCATGCAGGTGTATAATAAATTCCATTGTAAAGGATATGTTCATCTTTAAGACATGGCACTTTAAGGCCATCTTCTAAGTTAAGTCCTCTGAAATAATAGCCATGTAGTTCCCTGGAATATAGCTGACTATACACCTAGATGGTAGAAGAAAATAAACTGTATTTTTTTTATAGAAAACAATTCATTTTTCCCCACAAGCAGTATATAAATTACCTATATAATCCTATGAATAGCCTATGTATATATCATCAGACCTATACCAAAAACACACATATTGAGAAAGTATAGGATCTTAGATCTGTCAAAACTTTGAAATACTATTTAATCAGTTAAATAATTGCTGGCTAAATCACATTAAAACTAACAAAAAGTACACGGATTTTAATACATCCCAGCTAAAGGCACCGCTCAATACTCTTTGAGGACTCATTCAAGGACATTGTTAGAGAACATTCTTGGTTAATTTACTAAATCTCCCCGAGCCTAAGATTAGACATTAATCAAAATGGGAATACTGCATTAGTTCTATAGGGTTGATTAATATGAGAATAAAATTAAATAACAGATTATGGGAATACTCAGTAGAGCAAGTATCAAATAGTAGACATTTAGCAACTGTTATTTATTTTGTAAAGTGCTGCTCACTTTTTCCGTAAGAGAATTAGTATAATTGGAGTAGAATCATTTTACATGATTTCTAACCTCAAATATTTTTTATTCCTGGAACTCTGGGCAATTTCTTTCTCCTCTAGTTCATTTAAGGTAACCTGTTTTTATCCACAGGTAAATACATGAAACTATACCGTTGGTGGTGAACAAAGGTGGTTTTAATTACTCACACTTTGTGCTGACAGCTGACCATAACTCCTTAGCAGCAGTACACTCTGGTCTACAGCCCAAAGAGCACAAAGAGAGTTTGAAGCAGCCGAGACTTGAAGATTGACATTGGATCCTGGTAAACTTTTTTCTTTAGAAAAATTTAAGTTGACCTGAAAACGAAAATAAACAAAAGGGCAAAAGGAAGGCAAGCCATATGAGAAGAATCATCTTTTAGACTATTCTTCACTTTTTTAAAAACACACATAAGTTAAAAGGGCTTTCTGTGCTCTACCCACCTAATAATATCCATAATTTAGAAAAACAGGAACAACATCCACAGTGAATGTTATAATCCTGCTACTCTTCAATCATCCAACATATTAACTTCTCCATAACTTTCTTTTATTTTTCATTTTGCAAGTCTATGAAAAATTGGGAGTTTAAACCCAACACTCTCTTAAGTTCTCCTTGCTTTTCCCCAAAATTAAAAAAGAATAATTTTCGTCACCCACCTGATGTTTGAAGCATTTCTCAATTTGGAACTGGGTGCTGTCAGTGACCATTTCTCCTCCAGGATGCAAGCTATAGACAAGCATATCTACTGAGGGCGCTAACTCAGGGCTAACGTCTATAGAAATGGAAAATATGCCCTTCCTCCCTGTGAAAAGAAAATTTTAAACCGAAAAAGTGCTTTGGTGAGATAGTTAACTGTCATCTTGCAGAAATCCTCCACTGAATTTCTAGCCATCCTACCCACTGCCAAAGAGACTGCCCTGACCCACCAAATTTAATTTATAAAGCATTTCTAGGTGGGGTTCATAGCCTATTCCATAAATTATAAAAGAAAGAAATAGTTGAACATTTCTTATTACCTTTCAAACTTCAATCTACTTTTGTTTCTTTTAAAAAAATCCCTTCTTGTTTGAATGTAAAAATACTTACCTGCCTTTCTTGAAAGAGAAAGGGAAGGACCAATGATCCTTTTGCATTATAGCAGTGTTTGGAATATAATTAACTATATATTAATAGCTAATTAATATAAT